GACACTGATACAAAGTCCACAAAAAAGTTATCAATGCTAACGCCAATGTGCTGCCGCTTTGCTATAGTTTGCCACTGCAGTGGGCTGTTGAGCGTTTAGTGATCGTGAACATAACAAGAAACGAGCCATGGTGACCTTGAGGTTTAAAATGTAGGTTCCAATCCAGCGTCCTACGGAGTAAGACCATGGGATTTAATCCCCCTACATTCATATCGCCTGCATTCCTAGGAGCCATTGTCATGAACACTTTACTCATAACATAATAGTCCCAGTTTAAACAAAAAACTTTCTGGGTCAAGAAAAACACTAATCATCATCGGCGGACCAGGATGTTTCGCGCAATGCATTTGATCTGTAAAATTATAAATTCTGATCACGGTTTAACTATGGCACTCCATTCTTTATATCCATATTACTATATTCACAGAACTTCCCAGAGCCTTGGAGCAACGTGGTAAACATCTGACCTTCGCTGTAGATATTTTGGGCTCCTGAAAAGTTTATTTTCTCGTCCATCGGGTAGGTTCTTGACGTCACCATCTACCCGGATTATGCAACTATCATGTATCAATTAATCTACATCAATCTAAAAATCGAAGTACACGTAAACTAGTTTATTTATTTCTGAATAATTTGCGCGCATGCCATCCATCAGGCAGGTACCCTGAGCCGTTTCAATAATAAAGCGATTGTAAATCATCACAGCTTGTATTCAACGTCAATGACTTAATGTGTATGTAGGGCCTACTCTCTATCGCCTGATGTTTCCACGTAAATGCTATTCTGCAGCAGCATAATTACACCGCACGCACGCACGCACGCACGCTGCTGTGCACAATACTCAAAAAAAGATCTAGAGGATGAGAGGATCATTCTGTGAGTTTCTAACCCTCTAAGCAAATGTAATATCAATTTCAAGCAAATTTTATGAGATATTGCTCAATCATATCGTCACCTACACTGACAATATTTTTAATTTAAAATCCGCAACCTCGCATGCGTGCCGCGTGCACCGATGGCGTGATGTAACACCCACTATATCCACAGCATGGTACCGAGGAACGCATGATTATGATGTCCTGTGCCCTCTGCCCGAAAGTACACGCCAATACGGGCATCTCGCTATCACGCTTGCTTGCCATGGCGAATTTTTTTTCATTGCTAGCCATCCTGGCAAGTTTATTCATACCTGAATCGGGTGCGTGCTTGACGTTACCTAGTACAAAATAAATTTAACGTAGCAACTAATATGATTACAAATCGAAGGTGCCCGTGGAACAATTTAACGTTTACAAAAAGTAATATAATTTATGAGCGTCTAAGAAAATGTCATCTAAGCATGAGTCGTAAAATTCGATGTTTACAATAAAAACTGCACCTTGCACAGTAACAGCAAAGGCGCAGCAGCAGCGATGGTCACATACGGACCTAAGGAGTATAAACTAAATTTTATTCCAAGATAAGCAGCCTCATGCTCAAAGTTTTCAGAAGTTGGAACGTGGAATGATGGAAAAATGAGTTAATACAATGATTAAATATAAATACGATCAACAATAAATAAATAATATTGATATATTATTATCGTTATTAATATTAATACAATAAAATATAGGAAATGCAACAACTATGATAGGAAGGAAAAGAGTACACCTGCCGTGCACCCCAGGCACATAATACACGGCGCGCACGCACCCAAGCACACAAGAGCTTAGAGACAGCGAAGGCACGCAAGCAGGCACGCGCACATACATTTTAACCCGACGACGTTATTACTTTTGTCTATACCGCATTAACGTAAAAATGTTTCATGCATAATCCTTTCAGCTGTTGTTCTATCGACCTGTGATCTATCGTGACAGAGGTCCACGCCGCAGAGATACACTTTCGCGAACTATCTTATAACACAGTGTCCAGCACGGGACCGCAGCAGTCCCCGCTAACAACACACATGTGACACCATAGGAATGATCTGAGCGGAATATAGATTGCAGCAGCAAGCAGACACATAGTTCAATGGGTTGTGATATTGTTGGACGGATTTTAACCACCGCCATGAATATCATTGTTAATATATATATGTTATTATAGTCAGTCGCATACTAAATCACCTCAACGTTGATTTTAGTATGCGCTGAAATTATATATCAGAGGTGGTGACAACAACAGGTTCGAGGGCGTCGCATAGGCGAACAGACCTGAATAAGCAATGGAGACAGAAATTTAAATTAAAAATAACTAACACGACTGTTACTGCCCGCCCCTTACACAAACATTACACTTTATCATGTTAAAAAACTACAGATTCATGCTCCCATGCTCCCGCTCAGAGAAGCGCTTTGCGCACTCTATGATGCGAATTTCTGCAAAGTTGCTGTCCTGAACGACATTTCAAACACAAAAAATGACCAACCGGTAGCTGTGGCTACGGACCACCTGACGAATGTCAACGAAATATACACAACAAGACCAATTTTACTTCTAATGCTTTCTAGACGGTCCACGAGATGCATCTAAACCTGTCGTGCAGTAATGGCAAATTTTTCACTCTAGTGCCACATCTTCGGCGAAAAAAATGCAAAAAAATGTCTTTTCTGGAGACGAAATAGTGCAACGGTGAACAATTTGCAGAGACTTACTGTTATATTCCTCCTATAATAATGAAAAATTATAATATATATATATAATATATATGATATATTGTGGAAATATAGAAATAAATTGTTATATATTTCAAATAGAGAACAACATAAGAGTTTAAGGATGCTGTGAATATCCGAGTTAGTATGACGGGGTCAATTTCAAGCAGTAGTATATATAATATATAATATATATATTATATATATATATATATATATATATGACTCTAAGCACATATCTGGTGTTTGGAGTGCTGGATACCCTCCTTAGCTGCAAGTCCGATAACACGATCATACGTGGCAGGGACACTAGGCAGTGCACAATTCAATTCTTTTTGTTCTTGCATGAAATAATGAGGACAAGAATGGAAATCGCATGGTAAATCCATTCAATAGTCACGATTCAAGATGGCGTCCCCCGCTGCTGTCTGCTCATCTAAGTCCTCTGCAGAATACCATCCTAAGCAATAATGTGAATAGCATTCGACTTTCTGCGCCGTGTCCCGAATGTTGGCCTCATTACGAGGGCCACGTAAGAATAAGCGGAACACTGCTGTCCTTCTCCACCCTACGAGGTTCCTTTCTTCTTAACGTTGGCGTCCAATCCTCCGCGGCTCCACTCCGGATATTCTTCAGGTATCTCCATCAGCGGTTTTTCCCGTCTGTTTCCGGAAGAAGAGGAATCCGATGGAGGCAAGAACGCCGATCCACCGAACAGGAGAAGGCTGTAGTGCCGGCATACTCTTTTGCTGTGATAACAACACCGAACATCGGTCGCTATTTGCCTTTTCAGCCATGGAATTACTAATGGAAAAAATCTCTTTGATTTAAAAAAATGAAATTTTAACTAAATCGACATGGCAATAGTCAGGTCTATTGATGTTGGCCTTGTCTAAGCAGAACCCAGCATTAATTACTCCTTCTCGACATCGGTACGTATCTAACTGACAATTAAACAGATAATAATCGAGTAAAATAAATGTACGAGTAAATCAAAAATGATTCCACATTTCTCTTGGTAAATAAATGGTTACCATGATGAGAGATCAGCTAATATTGCTTACATTTCAGGTCGGCGCGTATGCTTAGGAGAAATCCTGGCAAATGTGGAACTCTCTCTGTTCTTCACAAGCATTCTGCACAGAACTTTGAAATTGAGAGCTACCCGAGGCGAAAACCCAATCCTTTGAAAGGAATATTTGGGCCTCACATACTGCCCTAGAGGAGTATAAACACAATTTTATTCCGAGATAAGAAGAAAGATATATTTGAGGTTAATGGTGGATTGAGAACGTGGAATAGAAGGGTAAATAATGAAGGGTATATAATCTATAGATATGATAGATAGAGAGGTCAGCGAATACGATGCGCGTAGGGACACAAGCACTGTCGCGACGCAGACACGGCACGCAAGCATGCCCCCCCCCACACACACACTTTGTTTTTACCCTAATGATGTATACTTGTATAATGCTGGCATTAACCATAAAATGTAATGTACAGAAATCTTTTGAGCTGTGTAACTAATTATAAATCTGGTAATTGAATAATATCATTCCATTACCTAATATATTTTATTACAAACTGTCTCAATTAGGCATAAACACAGAAAAAATGTCTCAAAAAAATCTGCTGATCTTGACTTTCTTCAACTTACTTACTTTAACCCTTCTATGTAGGAAACCTCTCATCAAATTCATTTACGTACCACACATAACCAGGATTACAGGCTCAAAAAATACAAACATGCTATGTGGTTATATTAGAGGATTTTTTTTAACAACAAGTTCTTTAACAGTTTATGGCTTGTCCGTTTACACATATTGTCAGAGTAAATATTATATATACAATTATATATTTCATCTATTATTATTACTGTAATCTGCTCTACTTAATCAAGAATTAATTAATTCTGTATGACTTTGGTTAACATTCTTAGTGTTAGTGATTGCTATCAGTGTTCGTACGATATTAATATAAATATTCTATAGCGCATCAATTCTTATCTTACTTAGTTTCTACAAATAAACATACACTTATTCACTCTTTATTATAAATGGTTGGTTGAGATACGCGTCCACCTTGAAATGGAATAAATAAATCTCCGCAGTGTCTGCGCCGCCATGAGTACTCGCAAGGCTAGGGATATGACTCAGTTCCATATGTAGTTGAGTTGTATTGAGAATGTCATTGCGATTACTAGGCCAGCAAAAAGTTACGACTGTTAAAATTTTGTAAGAATAACTCCAATAATTCTTGTATGTATACATGCACGGCAATGTGCGCGCAGAAAAAAAAAGTAAAAGGAAGACATATTGTTAGTACATATATATGAAACGTATAATTGCAATCACACATATTTGACAACAGGGTAAATATTTTTAGTTTTTCCACTATGCGCGGTTTACAGTCCTTTTAAAAATCTCGTTTTCCGGTTACTCCATGCACATCAATGGCATGCGATTCTCCCCTAGTACTCTTCCCTCACGCGGACATTCAGACATGTCACATCGACGTTCTCACGGGATGTAAAGTTAACATTTTATTAAAATTAGCGCGTAGACCAATTCTAGTATACCAAGTCACCAAGGATATATTATAAACCGGTCTTGTAATCGGCTGTGTGTTGACTGATGGTACGAACGATTTGTTGTTATAGTGTGTTGATGTGTAGTTTCCTACCAATGACTTGAAGCGACTTTGACCTGTGTTATTACATTTTTACTATCCATATTTGCGCCCGTAGATGTTTCCCGATCAGATACACATCTATTGCTTCCTCCCGAATGCAAACCTAGAAGGCTACTCGTTGAATTCATTTGCCGTTTAAAAATAAATACGTCGCACGTTCATGCACTGAATTCGTGTTCAACATACAATGCTTGTTAACCTACGATACAAATATTAACCGGAGAACTGGGCCGAAAACTATGGTGCAATAGTATCAATGGTCAATTGCTCATCAAAAACCGTTTCGTTTTCAGTTGCTACTGACGAATTGCATTAGTAACGTCATTTGCAATATCGTGTTCGGAATGCGATACGACTACGGAGACCGCGAATTTCAAGTGTTATGCGACATTGCCAACCAACAAGTGGTGGACCTGGATCCAGTCAGTCCAGCCAACCAACTACCATTTCTTCGCAATTTTCCACCATTTAAAGGACAATTCGAGAGATTTAGAAAAAACAATAGGTATTCGATAAGTGAGTGAAATGAGGAAATTGTCCGTTGGTGGAGAGGGAGATAAATGGTCCTTAATTGGAATCTAACGGAAAATTTATCATAATCACGCCATGGCGACGCCTATTCCACATTGCATCCAATTATGACATTGTATTGATAAACTCACCATCGCCTCACTGACAATATTAGGCCTCCAATTCTGTATATGTCTAGATCACAGATCAGTATACCCATCGTCTTTACAGACGTAACAAGTATTACACATAACCATGCCATCTTAAGACGTTGAAGCAATCATCGTTGATGTAACTTCAGTAGGAAAATCGCGAATTAACGATTTTAGCGAAGGTTAACGAGCGTGCCATCTAATTTTCTAACAATCGTGTTTTTCAGAACCATCTCTGACATTCTACAGAAACATATTGACACTCACCTTGAAAAGCATGATCCAGAGAATGCTAACGATTACATAGATGTCTATCTGAACGAAGTGAAAGCAAGCGAGGCGCGTGGAGAGGATTACTTCAATTGTAAGTATCTTAATCTGTGAGAATATTCAGGAAACCTCGCGTTGTATACGCGGGTACTTGGCAGAAAAATATATGTGCATTCATCCAACGTATAGTTGTGGATTTTATTACATCTCCGGATTATAATAATAAATAATATTATGATTTCTTGGTTTCAAAATAAATATTGTGCGCCAACAGCCAGTCAATGAGACGTGAAACCACACCTATTAATTTCAGGAAATCAGACAATCTAGGAGTTATAAGTATAACTTATAGGTAAAATCCATGTATCTCCCTCTACCTAATTCGGTAGAATGTTCAATAGAACGAAAGAGATGCGCTATATTTTTCAGTGGACCAGCTGCGCATAGTTATATTTTCACTCTTTGGTGCTGGATCGGAGACGACCTCCACCACTCTGCGCTGGGCGCTCTTGTTCCTTGTCAAACACCCGGATGTATACAAGAAAGTACAGGCAGAAATTGATGACGTAATTGGACGCGGCCGTCTGCCATCTATGAGTGATAAAGCAAAAATGACATACACGGAAGCCACAATCTTTGAAATCCAACGTTTAGGTTCGTTTACTGGCGCGTAGACGGTGTATGATTTTTTCCTAATACTTATGACCGTACGTTTGGCCATCGGTAAAAAGCGTCATGAAGTAACGCGATTACAAACTTCACATAGCCAACAATTGACTTGCCTTGACGCAGCCTCTTCATGTTTCCTTTCTTTTCTAGGAAACATTGTACCGCTGTCGATTCCTCATGTGTGTACGGAAGCATTCGAGTTGAACGGCTACAACATCCCAGCTGAGACAAGGGTGTTGGGCAACTTGACGGCTATCATGATGGACCCTGCGTACTTCCCTGACCCAGAAAGGTTTAACCCGGTACGTATCTAACTGACAATTAAACAGATAATATCGAGTAATTAAATGCACGAGTAAAATCAAAATGATTCCACATTTCTCTTGGTAAATAAATGGTTACCATGATGAGAGATTAGCTAATATTGCTTACATTTCAGGTCGGCGCGTATGCTTAGGAGAAAACCTGGCAAAGGTGGAACTCTTTCTGTTCTTCACAAGCATACTGCAGAACTTTGAATTGAAGCTACCTGAGGGAGAAAACCCATCTTTTGAAGGAATATATGGCCTCACATACGGACCTAAGGAGTATAAAATCAATTTTATTCCGAGATAAAAAAGAAAGATATATTTGAGGGGTTAATGGTGGATTGAGAACGTGGAATGGAAGGGTAAATAATGAAGGGTATAAAAAATTATAGATATGATAGATAGAGGAGTCAGCGATAAAGCTACGCCTACGCATGCACATGCCGGTACTATGGGAGCCACCAGCACCTAGTCGCAGCAGACCCAGCGCACGCAACAGCCTCCCTCCCCCACACACACTTGTGTTTTTACCCTAATGATGTTATACTTGTATTAATGCTGCATTACCCAAAATGTTGCTGTACAGAAACTTTTGAGCTGTGTGACGAAATATATAATCTGTAATTGAATAAATGCATTCATTCCTAATATTTTTATTACAAACTGTCTCAATTAGGGCATAAACACAGAAAAATGTCTCAAAAAAAATCTATGCTGATTTGTTGACTTACTGTCAAGCAACTTTAACATATACTTCAGGGTCATCGACTTCAGGATAGTGTTAGAGGAAACCTCTCATAAATTCAGTGTTACGGTACGGCGACATCATAACCAAATTAGCAAGCTGCAATTATAGCAAGACATGCTAAGTGGTTAATTAGAGGCATTTTTTTGCAAACAACAGTCTTACAGTTATTGGCTTGTCCGTTTACGACATATATCTGTCAAACGAGTAAAATCAATATATATATATATATATATAATACAATTATATATATGTATATATGAAACAATGTATGCTATAATATTATTCTTAATTACAAATGCATGGTCGATATCTATCAGAAAATTAATTTATTCTGATAATATATTAGAGTTTAATCAATTCCTTAGTGTAAGTGATCTTATCAAGTGTTCGTAAACATATAATACTAAAATCTATAGGCGCATCAATTCTTGATTAAGACTTATCTACAAAAATAAACAACACTTATTCCTCTTTATTAATACTAATGGGTTGGTTGAGATAAAAACACGACGTCCACTTCGAATAAGAATATAAATCTCCCCAGTGTCTCGCTGCATGAGACTACAGCAACAAGCAAGATATGACTCAGTCCAATATGGCAGTTGAGAATGTAGAGAAATAGACAAACTAGGGCAAGTTCAAAAAGTACAGGAACTGCGTCTAATAATTGCTAAGGAATAACTGCAATAATCTCTGTATGTATACGATGCACTGGCGCATGTGCGCAGAAAAAAAAGTAAAAGTGACAAAGACATATTGTAGTGATCATATCAAGAAACTATATTGCAACACACACGTACAACATACGCGCGTGCGTGCACCACAACATGCCCACGCACGTACTCCGCGTAATACGCTCAGAATGATCGAGCATGTTTATTGCACGCTCAATGAAATAGACAGCTATTGTGGTTTGGTGTAGCCGATAAAAACAAATAGAAATACTCTTCTAAACCGACACCATCATAGAACATGAACATCCGATGTAAGTGATTGCAGTCAGCACAGGCGCTGGGTTGTATTGACACTGGATACAAAGTCCACAAAAAAGTTATCAATATGCTAACGCCAATGTGCTGCTTGCCTATAGTTGCCACCAGTGGGCGTTGAGCGACTTTAGTGATTCGGTGAACATTAACGAAGAAACGGAGCCATGGTGACTTGAAGGTTTAAAATTAGGTTCAATCACCGCGTCTACGGAGTAAGACATGCCTTTAATCCCCTACATTCATATCGCCTGCATTCCGACGGAGCCATTGTCGATGGACACTTATTTACTCATATCATATAGTCCCAGTTTAAACAAAAACTTTCTGTGAGTCAAAGAACATATATCACGTGCGACGGTGTTTCGCGCAATGCATTTGATCTGTAAAATTATAAATTCTGAGGGCCGAGTTTGTATGCCGAATTTTATGAGATATTGTTCAATCATATCGTCAACTACACTGACAATATTTTTATTTTAAAATCCGCAACTTCGAATGCGTGCCGCGTGCCCCGATGGCGTGATGTAACACCCACTATATCCACAGCATTGTACCGAGGAACGCATGATTATGATGTCCTGTGCCCTCTGCTCGAAAGTACACACCAATACGGGCATCTCGCTATCACGCTTGCTTGCCATGGCGATTTTTTTTTCATTGCTAGCCATCCTGGCAAGTTTATTCATACCTGAATCGGGTGCGTGCTTGACGTTACCTAGTACAAAATAAATTTAACGTAGCAACTAACATGATTACAAATTGAAGGTGCACGTGGAACAATTTAACGTTTAAAAAAAGTAATATAATTTATGAGCGTCTAAGAAAATGTCATCTAAGCATGAGTCGTAAAATTCGATGTTTACAATAAAAACTGCACCTTGCACAGTAATATTAAAGGCGCAGCAGCAGCGACCAACATCGTCAGTACTAGCTACACCACAGTACAGACAGCATGGCAGCTGCGTCAGCTCTAGTGTCGACACTGTTGAGTGGCAGGAATATTCTCGCCATCATCGCCTTTGGTCTGTTAGCTGTCTTCAGTTGGCCGTACTGGCGTCGCCCCCGTAATGCCCCGCCCGGACCGCTAGGGTTGCCCCTGCTTGGTTCAATACTCTCATTTGGCAAGCACCCGGGACAGTACCTGAGGTCGCTGACGCAGACGTACGGCACCGTCATATCGCTTTACATCGGATCGGAGTTCGTCGTTGTGCTGAACGATGTCGAATCTGCAAAACATGCCTTCCTCAAGTATGGCGACATCGTCTCCGGACGCGATGTATCAGGCATCGTCCAAGACGGAGCAGAATGCTTTTTCAATCGGAAGAACAAGCTCTATTTCGGTAGGTATACTTGCAGGGTAAATACCGCGAATATTGCATGTATTTCATGAACACGGCGTAATGTTGTTTGGGTGAAATGCCGTTGCTTTGGGGGTGGCTTCATTTTCACATTTAACATAATTGATACATATTTTTCAGGACTCATCGGAACTAATGGCGCAATATGGAAAACTCATCGCAAGTTTTCCTTGAATGCGCTGCGGGACTTTGGCATGGGGAAAGCGAGCATGGAAGAGAAAATCAAAGAAGAAATCGGCGCTCTGCTTCCAGAACTAAGATCCTACGAGGGCCGAGCATTTGACAACAGGGTAAATATTTTTAGTTTTTCCACTATGCGCGGTTACAGTCCTTTTTAAAAATCTCGTTTCGCGTACTCATGCACATCAATGGCATGCGATTCTCCTCTAGTACTCTTCCTCACGTGGACATTCAGACATGTCACATCGACGTTCTCACGGATGTAAAGTTAACATTTTATTAAAACTAGCGCGTAGAACAATTCTAGTATACCAAGTCACCAAGGATATTATAAACCGTCTTGTAATCGCTGTGGTGTTGACTGATGTACGAACGAATTTGTTGTATAGTGTGTTGATGTGTAGTTTCCTACCATAGACTTGAGGCGACTTTGACTGTGTTATTACATTTTTACTATCCATATTTGCCGCCGTAGATGTTTCCAGATCAGATACACATCTATTGCTTCTTCCCGAATGCAAACTAGAAGCGTAGTCGTTGAATTCATTTGCCGTTTAAAAATAAATACGTCGCACGTTCATGCACTGAATTCGTGTCAACATACAATGCTTGTTAACCTACGATACAAATATTAACCGGAGAACTGGGCTGAAAACTATAGTGCAATAGTATCAATGGTCAATTCGCTCATCAAAAACCGTTTCATTTTCAGTTCTACTGAACGAAATTGTGTTAGTACGTCATTTTGCAATATCGCGTTCGGGAATGCGCATACAACTACGGAGACCGCGGCGAATTTTCACAGTTGTTATGCGGACATTGGACAAGCCAACAAGTGGTGGACGGTGATCCAGTCCAGTCCAGCCGAACAACTACCATTTGTTCGGCAAGTTTTCCCACCATTTAGAAGGACAATTCGTGAGAAATTAGAAAAAAACACAGTAGGTATTTTCGATAAGTGAGTGGAAATGAGGAAATTGTGTCGTCTGGTGGAGAGGGAGAGTAAATGTCGCTTAAGTTGAAATCTAACGGAAGAATTTAGCATAATCACGGCCATGGCGACGCCTATCCCATTGCATCAGAATTATGATACTTGTGGATTGGATAACTCACCATCGCCTCACTGGACAGTGATTAGGTCTGCCAATTTTGTATTCGTCTAGATCACAGATCCAGTTTGCCGGATCGTCTTTACAGCACAGTAACAAGTATTACAATATAACATGCCAATCTCAAGACGTTCGAAGCAAACTTATCGCTTGAACTGTACTTCACGTAGCGAAATCGCGAATTAACGGATTTTAGGCGAATGTTAAGCAAGCGTGGGCCCTAATTTTCCTAACATGTGTTTTTTCAGAACCATCTCTGACTTCTACAGGAAACATATTGACACTCACCGTTGAAAAGCAGATCCAGAAATGCTAACGATTACCATAGATGTCTATCTGAACGAAGTGAAAGCAGCCGCAGACGAGTGAGCTACACGCTTCCGAGGGGCACCCAAAGGACCACCAAACAAGAACGAACCCCACTACAAACAACAAAGTAAGAGCGAGGCGGTGAGAGGATTACTTCAATTGTATAGCATCTTAATCTGTGAGAATATTCAGGGAAACCTCGCGTTGTATACGCGGGTACTTGCAGAAAAATATATGTCCATCATCCGAACGTTAATAGTTGAGGCTCTTCTATTCACATACTCCGGATTAATAATAATAACTAATATTATGATTTCTTGTTTCAAATAAATATTGTACCAAGCAGGCCAGTGCAATGAGACGTGAAACCAGCTACGCTATTAATTTCAGGAAATCAGACAATGCTAGGAGTTTATAAGTATAACTTATAGGTAAATGCCATGTATCTCACTCTACCTAATTTCGGTATGAATGTTAATAGAACTAAAGAGATGCGCTATATTTTTCAGTGGACCGCTGCGCATAGTCTCCTCACTTTCAACCTCTTTAAGTGCTGGTCCGGAGACGACCTCCACCATCTGGCGGCTGGGCGCTCTTGTTCCTTGTCAAACCCCGGCTGTAATAACAGGCAAAGTACCAGCAGAAATTGATGAACGTAATTGGGCATGGACGCGGCCTCTGGCCATCTATGAGTGATAAAGCAAAATGACATACACGAAAGCCACAATCTTTTGAATCAACGTTTATGTTTCGTTTACTGGCGCGTAGAGCGGGTGGTATGATTTTTTCCTAATATTATCGAACCGTACGTTTGGCCACGGTAAAAACGTCATGAAGTACGGCGATTACAAAGGCTTGCAGCAGAGCCACCAATTGACTCTGCCTTGATGGCAGCCTCTTCCATGTTTCCTTTCTTTTCTAGGAAACATTGTACGCGCATGTCGATTTCCTCATATGTGTACGATAGCATTCGAGTTGAACGGCTACAACTATCCGCGCTGGGACCAAGGGTGTTGGCAAACTTGACAGTTATCAGTGAATGGCACCACTGACGTAACTTGCTGGACGCAGAGAGGTTTAACCGGCAGCGCGGTGTCATAGACAAGGATCGGCAGTTTAGTGAAGAAATCCCCCTGCGTTTTATTCCCTTCTCACAATCGGTAAGTATGCTAAGTGACAATTAAGAAGATAAATAATCGAGTAATTAAATGGCACGAGTAAAATCAAAATGATTCCACTCTTTCTCTTGTAATAAATGTTTACCATGATGGAGAGACTCAGCTAATTATTGGGCTTTACATTTGAGCCGGCGCCGTATGGCCTAGGAGAAACTGGCAAAGTTGAACTCTTTCTGTTTTCCTTCCATAAACAAAAAAAAACCAGAAATAAGCATTCTGGCAGAACTTTTGAATTGAAGGCTAGCCCGAGGAGAAAACGCCATCCTTTGAAGAATATTTGGCCTACACATACTGCCCTAAGGAGTATAACGCAATTTTATTCGAGATACAGAAAAGAAAGATATCGTTGTGAGGGGTTAATGTGCATTTGAGAACGTGGAATGGAAGGGTAAATAATGAAGGTATATAATTCAATAGATATGATAGATAGAGGAGTCAGCGATAAAGCTAATAGCTTACGCATGCCCCGCCCCGCCCCCGCCCAAAAAATAAGTGCCCCGCCTCGGGTAGGACACAAGGCACTCTCGCACGCGAGACGACGCACAGCAAGCATGCCGCCCCCCCCACACACAGACACACTTTGTTTGTTACCCTAACGAGTGTTATAACTTGTATTATGCTGCATTAGCCTAAAAATGTCTGTACAGGAAATCTTTTTAGCTGATGCTTGACTAATTAATAAATCTGTAATTGGAATAATATCATTTATTATAATATACTTTTATTAGCAAACTGTCTCATTAGGCATAAACACAGAAAAGAATGTCTCAAAAGAAATCTGCTGAGCCTTGACTTTATTCACCTTAACTTACTTCCAACCCTTCTATGTAAGGAAACCTCTCATCAATTCATTTAGCGTAGTCGCACACATACAGATTACAGGCTCAAATATCAAAACATGCTAATGGTGGTTATATTAGACGGATTTTTTTATCCAACAGTTCTTTAAGTTTATGGCTTGTCGGCTTTTACACATATAATCTTGTCAACGGAGTAAATCAATATATATATGGGATATATAGTTATATATATATATATACTATATTATATATATATTATAATATACAATTTGCTAATAATTATTTATCTGTAATTACAACGCATGGTCATATCTTATCAGAAATTAAGTTATTCATGTATGACTTTGGTTAACATCTTAGTGTTAGTGATTGTTATCAGTGTTCGTAACGATATTAATATAAATATTCTATAGCACATCAATTCTTATACTTACTTATTACAATTACAATTCTTATATGATTATCTACAAAATAAACATACACTTATTCACTCTTTATTATAAATGGTTGGTTGAGCTACGCGTCCACTTGAAATAGAATATAAATCTCCTCAGTGTCTCGCTCCATGAGTACTCGGCAAGGCTAGGGATTTGACCCAGTTCCATATGTAGTTGAGTTGTATTGAGAATACATTGCCATTACTAGGCCAGGAAAAAGTTACGACTGTTAAAATGTTGTAAGAATATTTGCAATAATTCTTGTATGTATACATGCACGCATTATGCACGGCAATGTGCGCAGAAAAAAAGTAAAAGTGAAAGACATATTGTAGTACATATATAGAAACTATAATTGCAATCACACACGTACACATACGCGCGTGCGTGCACACACACATGCGCGCGCACGCACGCGCCATACAGCGAACCAACGAACACACGTGAAGCGAGAGAATGAAGACAGAGCATTCGCACGGGCTTAATAACAAGGTATTTGGCAGCGTTAGATTGACATACACACAGAATTATTCTCGGAGAACACAATAATTATGCGGTGAGGGGAAACATCCATTAATTAGAGAGTGAAAACTGATCGATAGTCAAACGACGTTCTATTCACTGGATCGTCGATAGCTTTGCGCGACCGCCGCGGCTGCGTCCGAAACAGCGACGTCACGATGAAGGCGAACACGAAGAAGAAGAGCGCGAACGCCGCGACGACGACGAACGACACCCACGCGTCGACGCCATCTTGATCTATCCCATAATAGCGCAGCTCGTCTGCGCCGGTGACGTCACTGCACGCGTATCGCGGCGCTTCGCTGATGATGAGCGCCGGTCGGTCGGTCGTCGGCGTCACGTCGACGCACACGTCGTAGGAGTAATTCGCCGACAGCTGCCCGGCGACTAGCTCCCGGAACGCCCAGCGCGAGTTGGAAACGTACGCCGACCAAAAAAGCGCGGGTGCGCGCCAGAGAATGCGGGGATGCACGACGAAGCCGCACGACGCCCCGAGGAAAGCAATGATGGCGTAAGCGACGTGTGCCGTGGTCGCCTCTCGACGGAAGACGTTAGATAAAGCGACGGCCATCAGCCGCAGACCGTACACGTACAGGAACATGAAGGCAGCGTACATGCCAAATACTCGGCCGCTCTTGTCCATCTCGGCGATCCAGTAGGCGGGCGCCAAGTATGCGAGCGCTGCGACCATCGCCAACGGAATATCGCTGATGATCTGTAATAATAGTAATAATAATAATAATAATAATAACACTAATAATAAATAATAATAGCAGTAAATAATAATAATAATTATAACTATAACAATAATAAGTAAAGTATAACAATATAATCATAATAATTACAACGGTGACGTACGTCGTACGGTGCAGAGGCACGTACTTTATTTTTTACGTATAGCTTTACGTTATTTCACGCCTTACCTTAGCAAAGAAGAACGCCACTGGACTGTAGAGACCTTCCAGCACCTCGGAGTAGAACTCTCTTCTCTCTACGGTGACTGCAAACAAATGATTTGCCAACGCGTTATTAAAGCTACGGCCCCAATATAGATTGACATTTGCGCAATATATAAAAGACATCATATCTTACTTACTTATCTATTCTATATTAAATTTTGTCTGGTAGACGAGAAGCCTCTTGAATTTATTCCCACGTCTTATTCGAGATCCAGAAGTATTTGAATTTCATTAATATAATGTTTGTAACATGATGTAATTTAACACAAAGAATCTAAACGGTTTTTTTCTACATAACGTTTGCCTATTTACTAGAACTCTAACAAAACATTAATTCAAGTTGATGAAATCGCCTAGAAATGACTCTTCATTGCCGAGTTTCCTAATTACGTCTAACGTTACATCTCTCGTAGCTATACGGTGACGGAGCCGTGGCGGGAGATACGTCTAGTTTACCTTAGATACGTCTGTTCCTGATCAACACTATTGCATTCTGCTCAACGCTATTGCATTTATCAGATTTTTTTCTCCATGAAAAAAGACTGTCTTCAGTACATGTATTTGTATTCGAATTACATGCGATAAGAATTATTTTAATACAAGAATAATTACAATAAAGATTTAATAGTAACCTCTAGCTATCGTGCGGTAGACGTGCGGCAGTGGGGCGATGACGAGCATGACGAACATAAAGGCAATGCGCTCGTGCGTGTACAGCGGCGGCTGGTCGGGCCGCGTGGAGAAGATCACCCCGACCAAGACCGACATCAACGCGCAGAGGAAAATCTCCAGTCCCGACAGCCACGTGTCCTGCAGCGCCCCCTTGTGGCAGGTGAAGAGCCGCCTGTGGAAGTCAAAGTCGGTGGGGTTAGCGCGCAGCAGTGGCAGTAATTTACTAATTTCTCTGCTCGTTCCCCGTGCTCATGCGCGTACGAGTTCTTGTCATGATCTTGCCATTCTTGTTAACGTCATCCTTTGTATCGTTATCCGTTTTATTATGAAGTTTTGATTGAAGTTTTATTATTAGTTTCGAAATGAATACGAACTGATCAACTGGTTGGGAAATGTTGTGTATAAATAAGCTCTGCAGTGCGCTTAGAATAATATTGCAAAATACTCACCAAAGCAAAATCATGAATTGCATGCAGCCTCCGGTATGCCTTATCCGTCGCAACCCGACAGCTGTTGGTTCAGGATCGGACAACGGTAGCGCCCTCTCCTGGTAGAGATTCGCAATTCTACTAATGCGATCGCACGACTCCGCGATTGTTTCTATCGATCGGTCATCCATCGTAACGAGGTCCACTGCAGAGATAGCGCGCAGCAATATTATAGTTCGTCTGCTTTGACGAGGCGTGAGACCGATGCTGGAAGCCGTGCTAACATACACACATGTGACAGTCAGGAGCTATCTGAGCGGCCCATAGATGGCAGCACAATCAGGCCCCTTATACTTACCTAAACATTTCTACACTTACATAATATGACACATTACATTTCCATATTATGTATTCATTCGTGTCAGTGCTCATTTACGTGCGATTTCACGAGACCATACATTACAGGAAAATAATGCCGTCATTTTTAACACGCCCCTCGTTGTATAATATATTAACCGGATAGATATGCATCGAGTACTAACGCGCGATTGAAATATTGGACTCTCACCGTAGTAGTCGCATGGGTTGACCATCGAAGGGTAGGAATAGCTGATAGAGTTAAAGTAGCTGATCATTCCGCGGGCCGAACCATAGTACATCATACGGCCGGAAGATAGCAGCACCACTGAAAACAACGGCGACGATAACCAATCAAAAATCAAGACCCCGTGCGAAATGTAGCTGCGAACTTCCTATTTTATACACTATTCCATATCGTGTTTTATATACTTGTACATGCCATGTTTTATCTACTATAGACTATCTATACTATGCAATGTTTTTTACGCTTTTCTGTGGCATATTTTATATGCTATTTCTTGTCGTGTTTTAGATACGATTCTATGCATGTTCCATACAGTATTCTATGCTATATGTTTTATACACTGTTTCGTATGTGCTTCGATGTAAACACGGGACTCCTGTATAACTATATAATGTTCGATAGCCTAATATATCGCCTACACAAAGTTTGTCGTTTAGATGCCATTCATATACCCGTGCACTCGCACACGCGTACAGCCACAATGGCATCCATCTGTAGGTGAGCAATGATTCGCTCTGGGAAGTTAGAAAACGAGAACACTTAGTTTTCCCCCTATAAACGAGCTCACCTTTATCAACCAAGGAGAACACGTCCATGCTCGGATGGTGGAGAGAGAGTATGACGACCTTTTCACGCCTGGCCAATCCCCGCAGGTACTCGAGGAGAAATACGGATGGATAGGTTTCCATGTCTGTAGTGGGCTCGTCCAATATTATGATATCTAGAAATGAGTTACTCGTTACCATAAAATCAGAAGATTTGATGTGCTCGGGGAATATTACGTTTGTTTATATATATATATATATAGGTGTGTGTGTGTGCGCGCGTCCGCGTGTGCTGTGCGCGCACAAGCACGTGTATTGACGTGGCACGTCTAACCCATAGTACAGTGACAAGCCCATTCAAAATAAGCGTATGTCACTCAACAGCCGATTATCTATCACCCTTACCTGCTTCACCCCGTAGCTATAGACGGATAAGGAACTATTCACCTGTATTTAATGCCACTTGGCAGGCGATTCCCAGCCGCTTCTTCTCGCCCGCTGCTAGATCAGAGACCTTAGTGTCTTTGACGTGTGCCAAGCGTATCTCATCAATCAACTGATCGATCTAAACAAACGGTAAAAAGCACGGTAGGTCTTATAATTGTTGCAGTATATTCTATAGCTAGTTCCTTCTAGATTGCTCAGTTATTTGTGCTCTAATTAATGTAAAATCTTTCTAGATCTATGATAGATGTGTTCTGCGATAAAATGTATTAGTTTAGATGTAAATAATCGTAGTTAAATCCAAAAATGTAATTACAAGTTTTTCCAAAAAATTACTACTTTTAGCCTAGATGATAAAGATCAGAATTGTAAACAAAAGCGAATAAAAACAAACATATTTTTGTTCCTTCTTAGTGCTATGCAATTGCCGGATTGTGTGTAGGGTACTCATAGTAACATCAAATAGAACACGGAATATCGCGTTAACACTGCGTATACTTAAGCCATATACCATCGAGATTTTTCCCGCGAACCAACTGTCTTCTGGCTTCTTGAAGAGCAGGAAGAACTTGATGGTTTCCTGCACGCTGAGGTACGGTACGAGGTACGACTCCCGACGCACGTACGCTACGTGCTTCTGCAAGACGGAGTCGGGTAGCGCGTTTCCGTTTATCGTAAGCCTTCCCGTCACTGCACCAGATGGCGTTGTTCCCGCGAGAATGTCCAGTAGCGTTGTCCTGCCTGATCCTGCAACACGGCAAGGGTCTGTGTCAGGTGCAATCTTCTGGTAGCTAGGTGAGGTGAATGCTGCGTAATCAGAAATAACTCTACACACACCCCTGCACGCACACTCACACGTGCACGCGCGCGCACACACACAACCCCACCCCACATACACGCACACACACGCGCGCGCACACACACACACATACATACATACACACACACACACACACACACACACA